ACATGTAGCAATTTTCTTTGTAAGGAGTCGAGGAGACTGAACCACTATTAAATACATTTAACCAGAAAATCACAGAAAATGTGAAATACCTATTCAGTGACAGAGGTTTGTGGGAACTCTGGATTATCATTGCTTTTTTGTACAGGCAGAGGTTATCAAAGGACTTTCAGATAAAGGGATTTTCAGATTTCAGGGAGCAGGTGCCAAGCTTGAAAGACAAGTAAGTAAATAAACTAAATGCTCCTATTTCAGGCGAGGAGCTTGACCTACCGAACTTGAGGGCTCATTTCTGTGGCTTTGGTTCAAGTCCAACTTGAGTTCCTTGCCAGTTTCTACTCTGTTGGCTCTCGATGTACTGTCTATTTGACCTTGCAGTGATGATACAGCACTGAATTTTGACCTTCAGCTTCCCAAGCAAAAGTTGGTCATAAGAGGATGCCCACAACTAATATCAGAGCTAAAAGCCTCCAGCAGTAGGTGTCCTTTATTGTCTCCTGTCTGTATATGTATATACACACACACTTTGCATTTCTGTTAAATTCCCACTTCAAAGGATGTCCAAGATACATGCTTCAGCATTTAAAAATCTGCAGTGCAGCTCATTTTATGAACTCAAGGTTTCACACACAAGCTAGGAATGGATTGTGGTGATGACCCCGAAGCCAATACCTCATTGGAGTCCTTGTGGGAGAAGGGCCAAAGGTTTGGTTTTCATTCACAAACCGCTCCCATCTTCACACTGCCTGATATTAAGCAAGCCAGCCTGCAAACAATTAGTTACTTCGTGGCCAGACAAGAGCCACAGTAATACCTGAAAAGACTTCTGAACACTCAAGTAAGATAGTTTACAAAGTGCCCTGGACACGAGATTTAAAAAAAACAACCTCAACAGTATCATCTTGTTCAAAATTAACCTCAGAGCTGTGGTAACTACTTGGCCAGAGCATACCATGGTCTAAGGGCCCTCCCACCCCTCCCTTCCCCATACGCCCCACCCCCTAAAACAAGGAGAAAAGGAGAACCAAAAAGAAGCTAGTTTAGGTAGCAATACGAGACATTAGGACACTGTCCACAATGATGGGCTTACAGCATGTAAATACATTTATTCTCTATGTAAGCAACAGAAATGACAAGAAACCCAAGGAACAGACATGTTTTGCTCTGTGGGCATCCCAGACTCCAACATGTCTCGTGAGTGTCTGCATTTCTGCCAGCGATACGGAAAAAAGTCTCAGTCTCGCATGGAAGCAAATCTTGACTCAAGAGACCCTCACTGCCTCAAAACTTTTGAGATTCAGTAAAACAGCACTTAGGCCTTGCACTGTTTAGCGAGATACAGTGGATCAGCTGTGATCAGAAAATTCAGAAAAAAAACCCCAAACCAACCCCAAAGTTACCCTATGCACTGACAGCCACCTTTACAAGAACACAACACAAGAAGAACTGAAGAAAAATCAGGTGAAAAGGACTGTCTCCGATAGTGTTTCTTACTTGGAAATTAAAGGATTTCCTTGAAGTCAGTAGATATTTTATGTATATTTATATAACATATATATATTATTTATAGCACTACCAATCAATGTGTAATGAAGAGATGGTGTGAAGAGCAGCAAAACTGCTACAGCACATAGCTGAAGGTGGACAACTAAAAGGATAAGCATTTAAAAAAGCAGTAATAACTGGAGGATAAGAAGCCTGCAGCCTTTTTTTTTTTTTAAAGTAGATGTGCTTACCTGACATAAAATGTTACAATAACTCTTAAGAGTCGGTTCTGTCTGCCAAACTTATTTGCCATTTTTCAAGAGCTGCTCCATGGGAAAGCCTTTTCCTGAGCGATGTTGCTCGCCGCGGCGGCGGCATGTTGGAGCTGGGGCTCAGCCCCACGAGATGGCACTGTGTCCACGCAATCCAGGCGGAGGGACCGCTGCTGGTTTTTCTCCCACCAAAAATTATATCCCGAGCTGATCTGGCTACCCTTGCCTCCCACCCTCCCTCCTTGGGGCAGCAGGATGAGGATGCTGAGGTGTGCGCCCCACTGGCCGGTCCCAGAGCCCTCTCCCCAGCCGCACGGCCTGCCAGTGGGGTACCCCCGGAAAAAAGAAAAAACTGTGAGCAAAATTAATGCAGGGGGAGCGTCAGGTGAGGTGGGAGCTGCCGCAAGCAGCGGTGGCAAAGCGTGAGTGTGGAGCTGCTGGGCCGAGGTGTGGCTCTGCGGAGGAGACATCAGGGCTGGGGCAGCTCACACGGCACCACGCTGGGACCCTGCAAAAGCTGATGAAGCAGGAGACAGAGAAACCATCCAGCCTGTGAGTGCAGTGGGTGAGGGAAGGTTTCTGAGCAGCCAGGGTGGAAGAGCAGCTTCACCTCCTAGCAACAGCGATGCCACTGCCCTAGTGATGTACTTGACCACCATCTACCTCTGTGGATGCTCCTCTTAGAGCATGCCTTTTCCTCTCAGCAAATCCCCTTTACAGCGATGCTGTAAAAGGAAAACGCCCCAGAAAGTTGCTCATTTTTCTTGAAGGAGGCACTGGGGGGTAGGTCAAAGAGCTGGCAAAAGGAGCGTTGACTCGTAGCGATACAGATAACTACGATACTTTCTGGCAAGGCCTTGGTGACAAGGGTGCATATGCTGCCCACCTAGTAAAAGCTGGGAGCCGGGAGTACCAGTGAGCCTGGGCACCAGCTAACAAAGACTAAGCTGAAGAGGGAAAAGGGCTGAAGGACAGTTCAGCTCATCCACCTGCCTTGGAAGAGGAGTCACGCAGGAAGGATGTGCGGGAAGGTGGAAGAAACACGAACTGAGTACAACTGGTTACGCCTGAAGATGGCACAGGAGGGAGAAAAGCTGAGATGTATCTTTTAAGAGCCATTTCAGAGCTCCAAGGTGAGTAAAAAATGTAGAGAAAGGGCAGAGCTAGAAGCCCCAGTCAAAGCCTCCTGAAGTTGAAAGCAAGATTTCCATTAGCGTTGTAATGGGCTGCATCAGATGCCCACGGTGAAAAAGAAGATGGTTGGTTGTGGAAAGGATGCCCTTGCCATCTCTACATTTGGAGAAGGTGAGGCTTATACAGGCAAAATGCAGACAGATGTTGAAAGTTAAAGTGTATGTCCTCTGGTCTCCAGTTTTGACTGAAATGCTGGTTTGCAAACTGCTGGGTTGCCTCTTATGAGGAAGGGAGGGCTTTGCGATCGTTGCCCAGCAGTCAGTCAAAACCCCGCTGGTGTCAGGGAGCTGAGAAATTAAAAACAAAAAGTCCCAAGCCTATGGAAATGTCAAAGGGGAAAAAGGTCAGACAAAATTTTCCTTTCGTTTTGACCAATGACATTTTCAAAGTTACCTTTACAGGTGCAATCTGGAAAGCCTTCGGGAAAAACAAAACCAAAAACACAAAAGAAAACAAACCAACTCCAGTCTCGGGAAGCAGATGAAGTGGGAATACATGCGTGGGCAGGGGCATGCGCGTGTGCAGAACAGCAATAACCAGGGCCTGGCTAGAAACCTGAAGCGGCTGGGCTGGGGAAGAAAGCCGCCTTTGCACCAGAAGTAGAGGACACACAAGCCTGGCAGTAAAACTACTGTGATCCTATGTGCTGTCATGTACCAAAGAGTCGGTCTTTTCACTGAGCAGAAAATAAAATATATTTGCAGTGACAACTGAAAAAGCGAGAGTTCGCTCCTTCTGCCAAGTTCCCACTTCACCTGTTTGTCGTGGCCGAGAGGGACAAACGTCCCCCGTTCAGCCAGTGAGGACCTGGCGCAGCGCAGGCAGCGGCACAGTGCAGTGCAGGCAGCAAACTGCAGTACACGGGATTTCAACTTCCCCACTCCACCACCCTACGCTGGCCGAGGCAGCAGAGGCTTCCCTGGCTGCAGCAAGCTCAGGAAGAGCAGCAGAGACCTGCTGAGTGCACCTCACCCAGAAATGAACCAGTAGATCACGCCCAGCAGCCCTGACCACTGCAAATGTTATGGGAGGAGGTGGGTTTCAGTAAGAGTGAGTACCTGCGGCTCCGTGGGAAACATGGAAGCTGCTGGCTCTCAGACCGCTTCAAAGCAAAGCAAGACATATGGAGGCCCACACTGGATGCACAAATCAAGTGGTCAACGTCAGTGCCTCCACATGCTTGCACCCGCGCTCCTGAACCAGTGGGCTACATGTATTTGGACTGGGAGGCCGTTATTGGTTCACAGCCACCTCGGGACAGGATTGCTTCTTGGAGCAACCTGGAGGCACCAAGGTGGTACAAAACATCCCATGGAGTGGTGCTGGGTTGGATCCTTGGTGCAGATCAGTGACTTCAGTAGAGCATCACCAGTTCACACCATCTTTGCACTGGGCATGAAGCACAGCAATGCTAAGATGAGGTGAGCAATCCTTGTGGGCTAGCAGAGGACTCTGGAGGAGGAGTACGAAGGCTGGAAAAGGAAAGGACAGACAGCATATAGAGGGACGCATCTTAGAAGACCTTCAGGAAGGGGACAACAGGTTCCATAAAAACAGGAATGATTCATTCTGCTGCTGACAAAATTAGAAATAAAGTAATAATGGTAATAATAATAATAATTAATAATAATAATAATCCTTGCACTAGATACTAATTAGTAAATAATTATCATAGCAACTTCTCTTTTTTTTTTTCTGGGTTTCTTTTTTTTCCCCCCTAACCACTCTGAATTGCATATCCAGCCCCCTCATATCACAAAGGGGTGGAAAGGGTGGTGTTACATTGTGAACTGAAAATTTACTCCGATCCTACATTCCCCACTGTCCTACAGCTATTCTCAGGCTCAGTGGGACTGCCTTGGGGAAGGAAAGGGACATTACGTGTGTTCCTGCTTAGCACCCAGAGTACCTGCTTTCCAGATGCACACCTCTTAAACTCTGATTTTCTTGGTTTTTTTTTACAAGTAGGTCTAGGAAACAGAACGACAGGAGGATCATTGTGAGACAATCAATGTGCAGAATTGTAGCCAAAATCTGAATTCACTAGAAACCAATAAGCTGAAATAGCCACAACCAACTGTCCATAGCCTTGTCTAGAATGGCTTTAAACAAAAAATATAAAGAGCCATGGACAGTCTCCTTACCCCTGTCCAGAATTTGATGTAAACAACATCCATAGAAACTGGGATTGTTAAGAAAGTTTATCCATATATCTGGATAGCAATAAAAAGCGTTTCCTAGGAAACTGTAAAATCCTGTACCAAGCAGTGTACAGCCAAGCAGAGAGGAACATTAGGTTGATTTATATTTTCAAGGTACAACTTTGCATGATTTCTTTTAGATCCTGTGATAATGTACAAGGAGAGCACGTGTGAAGGTCAGGGCTGGTTTTTTTTTTTTTCTTTTTGTTTGTTTGCTTGCTTTCTTCTCTGAAATGTCTCTTGTGTAACTCATTGGTCTGGGTTTTCATTTCAATTCTTGTTTGTAATAACAGGGCATTACCGCTCCCTGCATCTGTCCTTCCTGTTCACACCAAGGCTGCATCAGTAATTTCCTTCTGCTGCCAAAGACACAACGGTTTCGTGTCTTCCCATTTCCTCAAGAACCGCTGCCAGCATGCTCAGGTTGCCATCAGGGAAATTCTGGGCTTCCCAGAGATCCAGGATCACCCCGGTAGGACTCGATTTCGTAGCAAAATAATTTAGGTACCTGCAACAAGCCAAAAGGAAACTTGTTTTTTGAGCTGCATGAAGGCTACCTGAATTCATATGATTTCAGCTCATCCCCATTGCTGACGCTGTCAAGGTGCTCATCTCCTGTGCAGTCAGTCTGACCGGTCTGTAGACGCATCTGCTGTCATTCATCTTCCCCAGGACCCTTTTGCATAGCCCTCCCGGGGGGCTTCGCCACCCGACCACACATAGGCAGCCTCGCTCACCTGTCCAGTTTCAGCTTGTGGGCCAGCATCCGCCAGTCGTGGCCCCTGGTCTGGGGCGCGTCCAGGCTGCTACACAGCTTCTGCCTTATCGGGAGCGGGATGCTGAAAGCGCTGGGCCCTACTATGGTGGTGATGGTGCCTGCTGAGTCCAGGGGAGGATAATTGATGCCAGTAGGTTCCTGAGGTTGGAAAGAAAGCAAAAAAATGTAAAAATACAGCAGTTTTGTTACTGAGTGCAGAGATGATTGCAGAAGTGCATCCTCTGAGTCTCAGTGCTTTTACTTGCATTAGAGGGGAGCAGCCCTCTGCTAATCAAGCATTTATGTTAGTCAGCTGAAAAAGAGAAATATTTATAAATGACTTTGGGTAGACAGCAGATTTTTTTTCTTTTCTTTTTTTTTTTTTGAGAGTGAAGATTACTATAGCTGGACAAAATTGAGCCCAGCTTAATTAATCACTTACTGGAAATAAAGAAAGATCAGGCACTTTGACACGTATCAGAGCAAATTGCTGCTACTAGGGCAGAAGAGGGCTTTCCTGGCTTGGCTGGCCGGAACCCCTTCCTGGCAGCCTCCCAAGCCCCCCACCAGAGCCAGCACCAGGCTCACGCTGCTGACATCCCTTTGACAGCACCCGTGCTCTCCAAAGCCTCTGATGCTGGGCAGACCACAGAGAGATGGTTAATACCGCCCCAGGCACAAGCTGATACCTCATCTTCATGTGGCTTTAACTCTGTGCTGGAGATAGATGGAGCGTGTGTGCTCTGGGATGGGGGTGGCCATTGCCCTCCTCCCCAAGACCAGCACTGCGCTCAAAGGTGGTGGCAGCAGTGTTTCAAGGGAAAAGTCATCTCCAAAGACAGCCTGTCCCCTGTGGGTCCAGGGCGATGTTCTCTGATGTGATCCTCCCAGCTGGGAGGCTCCCAATGACACAGTTGTAATGTGGCCCTGCTGGGAATGACAAGCGGTTGGTTCTTCTGGGCAAGGATTTTATCCCTACCTTGGCCTGGAAGGATTTAGCATCCACAGGCAGGTAGAAAGAGAGGCTCAGTAGCTGGTAGGACAAAGGTAGTTGGTCAATTTGGATGGTTGGGTTTGCTTAGGAACAATGAGGTCCTGCAGGGCAGCTGAAAGCCTCGCCAAACCCCATCGACGCTGACTGGCCGCCCAACCATGCAGCGGCCACACTCCTCCCATGCACAGCACTTGTCACCTCCACCTACCAAAGCACGTGATGGAAAAAGCAGCAAGCAGGGCTGGGTCTCCTTTCATGCCTCTCACTCGCCTTCTCAATTGCCGTTCTTTGCACATGACAGGCCTGAGGCCAGGCTGGCCGAAATGGGGGAGCTGCTTCATCTCCGTCTCTGCCCATGTCACAGCCCTGGGCAGCCAGAAACATCCATGCAAAAGACTGGTCGTTAAATGTCAATTTGTGTGCTCCTCTGTGAGATGCCTTGTTGCTTTGTGTCAAACTGGCTGCTGAGAAGGCCCTGTAAATCCTGAAATTGTCTCAAAACCAAGCAACGCCTGGTTTAACCTGCCATCGCAAATCCCCTAGGAAGCTTGTTGGAGATGCTCACAGTCACGCGCAGTCTTTTGTTTCCCCCTCAAAAAAGTACGCAGAGTTGGAAAGGGGAGATCCAGTATCCGTGAACAGAATTAAACCTCTTTTGCCTCCACTCTTTTATTCACAGCAATTAATTCTCTTCCACTCTATAAATATGCCTTTTTTGCCTTTTTTTTTTTTTTTTATAACTGGCACTTTAGGCAATCAGTGAAATTTCTAACCAAGGAAGGCTTATGCCACACTGTAATGTCTTCAGTTAACATGCCCAAAGCAGTGCCGAATGCGGTATCCCTACTTGGGTGCCAAGGCCCTGCATCACAGACTGGCCGCCCCAATCCCACTGCTTCAGGCAACAACTTACTGTCCTCTAGCTGCCTGGCAGCGGTGGCTGCCCGGGAGCCTGCAGAACGCCTTGTATGCCACTGCTGCTGCCTGCAGACTCACCCCCGCTGGCAGGTCAGAAGCAGCTGTAGAGCAGTGACCGGTGGCATCGCAGACGGACAAACTTTCCTTTTATTCTGGGCCAAGGGATGCAAGCGACACATTGAGGCAGCGCTGCCCTGGCTCTGGAGGTGGCCTGCTGCCCCAGGTGCATCAGGACGGCTGCAGAGGGAGTCCAGGTATCCATGGCGGTACCCTGGGGCTCTTTCAGGTGAGTACCGACAGCACAAGATAAAAATGGGGCTTCAAAAACAAACAGTGGGAGACCTTTATCTCACTCTTCCTCTTGCCTCACAAATTTGCATGTTTTGGCACTCATTGCATTTGTATTTTTGAAGTCCTGGTGGAATACACTATGTAAAACCAGAATAAGACAGTTTAATCTCCAGAAGTTTTACGTCCGTTACAGGGGACAAAAAAGAAAGCCCATAAAGGGAGGATGCAGGAAACTGTGTTACTATATTTTTACCAGAGGGTGACAGAGACAGAGGCAGATCCAGCAACAAAGAAAGGTATCAGCATGGTCCTGCAATGCCTAACCACTAGCTGTCTGCCTCTCCCACAAGAAGGGAATAATGTGCACAATTTGAAATCACCAGAAGCAAACCAATCCAGACACCATCTGAAAGCAGAGACCAAAACACACCCTTACATGACCTAGTTAGTCACCAGAAGAAAGTGTGAGGAACCATAGCTAAGGTTTCCTGATGCCTGGTCTGGTGTCTTTATCACAACCACCCCTTCCTCTTATGCCTCTACAGGCATACACATTGGTTTCCAGGTTGCTGTTATTACACTTCCAGGTAACTTTTGTCATCAAACCAGCTGAGTTTTACGTTTTTTTTTTCTAGTAACAAAGTTGACACAACCCTGTCTGTCAGCCCTTAGCAGCCCAAGATCCTCCTGCCCCTCACTTGGGCTCAGGAACATCACTAAATGTCAACCAGGAGGAGCAATTTTGCAGCAGGCAGCCTTGATAGCGGCGGTATTATTCCCTCTCTCTATTCATCCCTGATGGATGGGATCACAGCACAAGACAAGAATATTATCCTGTTCCCTCTGAATCCATTACCAGGCCCTATTACACACAAGCAGCTGAAGATGATTATAGTGTATACTTGCATTTCATTAAAGTTACTCTCAGTTCTTTCTCTTCTCTGTGAGGTTAAATTAGAGATTACCTCAATGCAGCACTTATTACAATAATTGTTTATGATACTTGTTTTACCATCTGTCTTTAATGCTGTGTAGTCCCCAGCTGAATATGTAACTTTACACCCAATAACCAAGCAGATGTTATGGGTAATGGCACACACCGCCAGGGCCCTACAGCACAAGTAACTTTTGTCTGTGGTCTCCCAGCCCTTCCCCAAGTCAGCCAGCAGTGATTGCTGCCCAGGAGCCTGCTCTTCATAGCCACCAAGGGTACCAGGCACAAAAGCCACCAGCACAGTCACTGAAGTCAATGCCACTTCACATTTGAACATGTCGTTTGGTCTCAGCCCTAAGCTTGACTGCCCCAAGGAGCGAAAATTCTCCAGGTGCTACGTAGCATCAGCAAAGATGTTCCAAAACTTATGACCATTTTTCTACTGGAAAATGTCAGCCGTCAAAAGAAAAATTGTCAAAGATAATATTCAGGATTTGTGGCAGTAGCAAAATCTGATGAGAAAAGTCTATTGCAACTAGACCATCTGATATTCTCTCTTGCACAGCGGTTACTACGTAGGATCAGAGTGGAGTGGCTCATGCAAACATATGGCAATGACATTTTCCTGTTCTCCTTCCTCTCTCTCCAGGGAAATGGCAGGCATGATGGTCTTGTGGACTGCCAGGAAACAGAACCATGCAGTGCTTTGCGAGATGCATTAGGGAGTGGTAGGCAAAGAGCTCCTCCACACAGAACACAGAAAGGTGGCTCTAGCAGGGAGACCATAGCTGCTCTCCTCCCTCCCTTGAAGGGGGGATGCTCCCTTCCAGATGAAAGAAACTAAAGGAAAATGCAACAGGAGATACAAAGAAATTACTTAATCCATCCCTTATGTCCATGCCAGCAGTCAGGAGGAAAATGGGAAGCACTAAACAAGTAGCAACAGGAAAGGATATACCTCCTTAGCCCTCCTATGTTCCTGCAGTCGGATAGAGAAGTGCACTGATGTCATTTACCTCTGAGACAGAGCAGTTGAGCTGGAAGATCTGCCCTTCTCCTTCGACCTGCCGCACGCAGAGTTTGCACACCAGCTCCAGGGTATTCAGGCTGAACCTTTCCAGTGTGAAGGTGCAGTGCAGGTTCCTCTGGCATCCACTCCAGATATGGTAAAAGGGAATCTCCTGCAAGAAAAAAGCAAAAAAAGGTATAGTAAGGGAGGGATATGGGACCAGGGCACGGATGCTATATGACCAGGGACCGTGGGCTCCATGCTGCTGTCACTGCAAATGGTCCAGGGAAAAAAATGTCCATGGCACTGCAGCCTGGCACCGAGTGTTTTTCAAACACCCCTGTGTGTCACTGTATTTCTTTAAGCCTCACTGCTAGGATCCAATGTGAATGGTTTGTGCTGCTCACCTGGTATTTAGCCAGCAGTTTGCTCTTCCAGAGAGAGTGGGCAATGTCATGAATGGACAGGCGGAGGTTGTGGGTGCTTCCCTTAAAATGCAAAGCTTTGGGTTCCTCCAAAAGCTGCCCGCCCATCTGCTGCTCTAGCTGGAGGACCTCCTGCAGTATGGTGATAACAAGAAGAAAGCAGTCAGGTTTCATCAAGACAGCACACTGGTCTTCTGATTCCTCAAGATCAACTGCTGTAGATGCTGTAATTTGTATAATACAGAAAAAAAATGCACAGGCATTGCACAGACTTGTGTTTCCCTGTGAACTGGAATTGCACTAGTGGATCTGAGTATAATGCCCTCACCCTCATCATACAGCAGCAGCCCAGCAGGGATGCAGGCAGCCATGTCTCCTTTGGGAGACACAGCATTATCTGACATGTCCTATAAGCAGAAAGCTTAATTGCATGCAATTGTATTGAATCCAAAGACTTTGCATACAGGTACTCTTTGAATACTGAAATATATCATTCTCCATTGCTCACCAAACTGGACATCTAATGGTAGCTTTACTATTTTGCTTTTGGAAGCTCTTATTTGCATAGGTCCTGCTGATATGGGACCTGTGCATACTGCTGGTCCTTTAGCTTGCAGCCTCCTGGCAAACTGCTCCATGACAGAGTCGTACAAGAGATAGCAGATGCCTACTCTGAGACTAACTGTCAAGCAGGATGGTATCAAAACAAGAGCAAGACACTGTCATGAAGCATTTTGTACATATGAATACATAGGTTCAGGGTTACTGAAATATTGATCTTGTAATTAAAAGCTAGTAAGCCAAGAGTCTGGTCATTTTCTGCAGCTAAAAATAAACATATGCTTGTAACTAATGAGACCACACTGGATCATTGCCTACAAACAGACTAATTGTAGTCCACACAGAAGAGGCAAGTACAAAGGCACCTACACGAGCCCCATTAGAAACCAACACCGCCAAACTCAGTCATATTTAATTACAAGAGCCGACCAACCAACCTGTCTCACGCAGCCAAAGGCAATCGTGCACAGAGTGAGCACACTCAAGCAGTACGTGGGCAAATGAAACCAGGATGCTACCCCAGGCCAACTAAAGGAGCCTTTGTTTTAGCTAAGCACAAAACAAGCTACTTTTGCTCACATTCAGCATCTAGTTAGCACAAAAGAAAAAACCCTGTCCCTGGCGAGCCCAGCACCTGGCAGATACTGAAGCTAAAATGATGTTTGTTTATCAGCTATTAGAGGAAAAGAAACAAAATCAGGAAACCTTTTAGATTAAGGTTATGCCAATGAATCAGTTCCAGCTTCTTTCCAGTGCCCCCTAATTACCTCGTCAAGATGTCCAAAGAGCAATCGATAGTAATTATCTGATTACTATAGATCTTCATTATGTCCAAATTAGCTCCCTGGAAGGGCCAGAAGACGACTTGTGGCACTGCATGAGCTAATTGCAGACGCCACCTCTCAGGCACGCAGGGCGCGGGGGCCGAATGACTGCTCCTGCCTGTGCAGTGCCAGCCCTGGGAGCTGCACTACTGTGGGGAAAAACATTGCAGCATGACGCTGCACCATCCTACCCACCAGATCTGGGTGTCTGGTTTCAATATCCCACTTTTGGTAACCACCCTTGGTCACTGTAGCCCCTCTACATGCTCCAACTGGCCACCACAGCAGCCTGTGCTTCTCCCATGCTGCTCAGCTAATTAATTCAGCATTAATTTGGAGCCATGATTTGCACAGCCCTTCAAACCTGCAGGCTGGCTCTAGCCATAGGGCATTTTATTTAGAGCCGTGCTTATCCCACTGGCTGGCGCCTCTATGCCCTCCTGAGCCAAAATCTGAGCTGTGCATTGCTTGCCCCATGCAAGGGTGGCTCTAGCCACCCTCCCCATCGCCTCTCACCACACCTGTGAGCCGGGACTTATGCCCTTATGCTCTTCCTAGGAGAGGGAGCTGTGTAAGGCATTGCTCCATTGTCAGCACCACCAGGATAGCCACAACCTGTATTTGGAAAAGGCTTCCTCACTAATGGGGCATAAGCAAGCAACAGCGTTCAGCTGTTGCCTTTCTTCATTAGAAGGAAAAATATGCATTAAATAACTGAGAGAAGATCACATGCCTGTTGTGATTCTTTTTTTTTTTTTGGAGGACAGTTACTGCGCAGCATGAGGCGTGTTGAGGGATGCCACCTCGCTACAGCCTGAAATCATTCACTTGCCCCTGGTGTGGGAGGTAGCCATTTCCGCGTGCCCGGCTGCTCAGCCCCCGCTGCGCTGCCAGGCACAGCTCACACACCTCAATCTCAAAGCCATACGTGAATAAACAGATGAGAATAAAGCAGCTGGAATTCTTTATAGCTATGGTATTATTACTTTTTTTTACAGCAGACTAGCTTGGGCTCAAAGTGCAAAAATCAGTATTAAAAAAACAGGCCAGTGCTCGAGGTCACAGCTACCCTCGCCCTTCCCCAAAAAGCATTTTTGTGAGCATCCCATCCGGGTGCCTCCGGACTCTGCGGGCGGAGGATGCTGCATGCACGATCAGTGCGGAGCCCACTCTGCTCCGCAGCCCCCAGGAATCCCGCCAAGCCCTCCCCACAATAACCGAGCCCTTACTCATGACAAGGCATTACATTTCCCTACTGTACTGTGGGCGCTGGCAGTTCAGCAGTGAGCGCTTACTCTGCACGATGAGAGAAAAAGCCTGCTGGAAAAATACAGCACTGAGTTTTATACCGCAACTGCTTGTCTTCCTTTGGCGGCTGTTAGGACACATTCAACATATGGCATATTCATTCCTAGTTGTAAATAATAACAGAATGCTTTTGGTTGCCTACTAAAATAAACACATAATCCCCTACAAAGGCTCTTCCAAACCTCAGACATCCCAATATGGGAACACCTCACGCTGCTCTTCCCTCCTCTTGCTGTGCCTTGCCTGGAGCAGCCAGCTACAAGACACTGAGATGTTGCAGCTGGTACCTTGCTTGCTGCCTACAACTTTCCCACCCTCTCCAAATTACTTTTAACCTCAGGACCCGCTGGTCCAGCCACGTCTGCATGCCTTGTCCTGCACAGCCAGCGGTAACTGCCTGGTGAATGCCCTCCCTTCGGCAATATGGCACTGCCAAGGACCTCCTCCCAGCACGGCCGGGGCTGCTGCGGTGGCAGCTGTTGTGAAAGCACACAGCAAACACCCCAGCCTTTTTTTTTTTTCTTTCTAAATAGTCATAGTTTGAGTCTACACAACACCATTGCACAGGGCTGGTTTGTACACACTGGTTTGTACGCAGATGCTCAACCCTTTCATCTTACACATAAGCCGGCAACTAGACACCGTTCTGTGACCACCTGCAGAGATGAAGGGCACTCATCCTACCTGACCCTCAAGGTGGAATGGTGGGCACTCGTCTGAGAGCAAAGGCTGCATCTCCGGCTGAGGGGGTCTGCACCATCTGCCCCAGCGGTGGCCGATGCCTCCATCCAGACGGAGCTGCGGAAGGGAGAGGCTGCAGTACAGACCTCAGGCTGCAGGAGGTGCCTACGCCTTTCCCCTGAGGCAGGGGCAGGCGGCAGGCCTGCCTGCAAAAGCTGTGCCCGGGTGGAGGATGTCCTGCAGCAGGTGGCTGAGCTGCCGGAGGCGGTGAGAAGGCTGCGTAACATCAGGAAGGCTGAGAAGGAGTTAGACAGATAGCTGGTTCCAAGCGCAGTCTGCAGTGGACCCACAGCCCACGGCCAAACAGACAAAAACTCCCCCACCAGCACACACAGGGGGGCCAATAATGCAGAAGAATGGATGGTTGGAAGGCCAAGGACCAGCAGGAGGAAGAGGCTTCCCCTGAAGCCTGAGGTGCCCTTGCGGAACCACGTCACTGCTCTGCAGGCTGAAGAGGAAAGACCCGTCACACCAGGAGAGATGCTGGAGCTGAGTAAGGCAGCCCGATCTGCTCCCCGTATAACAACCAGCACAACTAAGAAAAGGCGACGGGTGATAGTAGTAGGTGACTCTTCTGAGAGGAACGGAGGCACCCATTTGCTGACCTGTCGCACACTCCGGAGAGGTGTGCTGCTTGTATCAGGGATGCCACTGGGAGACTACCAAGCCTCGTACAGGATATGGAGAAAGCTGAGGTACTCAACGACTTTCTTGCCTCAGTCTTCACCAGCGAGTGCTCAAGCCACACTGCCCAAGTCGTAGAAGGCCAAGGCAGGGACTGGGAGAATGAAGAAGCGCCTGCTGCAGGAGAAGATCAGGTTCGAGACCATCTAAGGAATCTGAAGGTGCACAAGTCCATGGGGCCTGATGAGATGCATCTATGGGTCTTGGTGGATGAAGTTGCTAAGCCAGTATCCATCATAAGTCATGGCAGTCTGGTGATGTTCCCACTGACTGGAAAAGGGGAAACATAACCCCCATTTTTAAAAAAGAATAAAAGGAAGACCCAGAGAACTACAGGCCAGTCAGTTTCACCTCTGTGCCCAGCAAGATCATGGAGCAGATCCTCCTGGAAACTATGCTAAGGCACATAGAAAATAAGGAGGTGATTGGTGACAGCCAGCATGGCTTCACTAAGTGCAAATCGCGCCTGACAAATTTGGTGGCCTTCTATGACGGAGCTACAGCATTGGTGGATAAGGGAAGAGCAACTCATGTCATCTACCTGGATTTGTCCAAAGCATTTGACACTGTCCTGCACGACGTCCTTGTCTCTAAATTGAAGAGACATGGATTTGATGGATGGACCACCTGGTGGATAAGGAATTGGCAGGATAGTTGCACTCAAAGAGTTGCAGTCAACGGCTCGATGTCCAAGTGGAGACCAGTGATGAGTGGTGTTCCTCAGGGGTCACTATTGGGAGTGGCACTGTTTAACATCTTTGCCAATGACACAGACTGAGTGCACCTTCAGCAAGTTTGCTGATGACACAAAGCTGTGTGGTGTGGTCGACACGCTGGAGGGAAGGGATGCCATTCAGAAGGACCTTGACAGGCTTGAGAGGTGGGCCCATGTGAACATCATGAAGTTCAAGGCCAAGTGCAAGGTCCTGCACATGGGTCGGGGCAATCCCAAGCAGAAATACAGGCTGAGCGGAGAATGGATTGAGCGCAGCCCTGAGGAGAAGGACTTGGGGTTGTTGTTTGATAAGAAGCTCAGCATGACCTGGCAATGTGTGCTTGCAGCCCAGAAAGCCAACGGTGTATCTATCCTGGGCTGCATCAAAAGAAGCATGGCCAGCAGGTCAAGGGAGGTGATTCTGCCCCTCTACTCTGCTCTGGTGAGACCCCACCTGGAGTACTGTGTCCAGCTCTGGAGCCCTCAGCACAGGAAAGACATGGACCTGTTGGAGCAGGTCCAGAGGAGGGCCACAAAAATGGTCAGAGGGATGGAGCACCTCTCCTATGAGGACAGACTGAGAGAGTTGGGGTTGTTGAGCCTTGAGAAGAGAAAGCTCCAGGGAGACCTTATAGCAACCTTCCAGTACCTGAAGGAGGCCTGCAGGAAAGCTGGAGAGGGACTTTATACAAGGGCATGTAGTGACAGGACAAGGGGTAATGCCTTTAAGCTGAAAGAGGGTAGATTTAGATTGGATGTAACGAAGAAATTCTTCACTCTGAGGGTGGTGAGGCCCTGGCACAGATTGCCCAGAGAAGCTGTGGCTGCCCCATCCCTGGAAGTGTTCAAGGCCAAGCTGGATGGGGCTTTGAGCAACCTGGTCTAGTGGAAGGTGTCCCTGCCCACGGCAGGGGCTTTGGAACTAGATGATCTTTAAGGTCCCTTCCAACTCAAACCATTCTACGATTCCATAATTCTATGATCTACAGCTAGTTTACTAGGTTCATTTTTCATAAACCTTCTCCTTCCCCAGACCTTTCATTTTCAGAGAAGGGCAATTGATACATTCATAACAGTTTGTGGCCAGCAAGTACATGTGCTCGTCCTCCTGTAAACCACCAGATAGCTGGGTCTTGAACCCCATGGGTGGCCTTCTAGTCTTGGGGTAGATGTGCCAAAAAGAACAAAATTAAAATGCATGTACTTTGCTGTATAACAGCAGTAGGTATGAGTGGAATGGTGGCTGCCCGACTTTGTTCACCTTTCCTCACCAAATTACAAGCTCGCTTTGGGGTCTACCTGCAGCAGAAACCCAAGGACTGGACTGCTCCTCTCCCAAACGTTGGCTGCAGCTTCTCAGGTGAAAGATGGTCCCTCTGTGTTGCTCAGCAGCTCTCCTGATCCCTTCTGCTATCGCACCGAATAGGATTAACTTTACCTCACAACTCTCCCCACAGCCTATTAGAAACAAACCAACAGCTCTTGAGTAACACCTAATTGGATTCCCCCAGCTCTGACTGCATTAGCTGTCTGTCCAAGGCCCCTCCGAGTCACTTATTATTACCTTGGGCCTTGACAAACCCGTGGAAAATTGTATTATACAGCACAGGCATAAAAACATCAGGACTTTTGAAGCTTGATTGCTACAAAAGATCCTTTTCACTTTTTTTAAGGAGGAAAAACAAAAGGGAAATCAGACCAGGGAAAATAATTGTTTCTAAAATCCTGATAACACCAACATATTGACAGAGGCCAAGCTCCCAGACCCTGTACAGACAAAACCATGCTGAAGTCACGATATGCCTGCTTCAACCCTTGTACTTTACTGCCTTTCTTACATATAGAGAAAGAGTATCCCCCCAACAAAGCCTAGGCAGGCAGGCCTTGATATCAGATAGTATAGGGGAGGAAAACGGAGTGTGCCATTCACAGTGATGGAAGTCACTGCTCTGAAAAACACAAACATCTCCCAGCCAGTGTATATGGGTTTGAATCCCAATAATTCCCATGTGGAGCTGAGGAAATAAAAGCATACACAGCACCAGGATGACTGCCTAGAGTCAGGCTTTGAACTCATTTTGCTGCAAAGAGGCATTTGGGAAGTTGGGCTTGCTACGATTAAAGAAAAAAAAACCCCACCTTTTAATAACCTCTATTCTTACATGTCCAGTTGGAGCTACATATTTCATGAGTGTATCTATTATAGATACCATCTGTATAAATACAGGCATTTATAAAGAGAAATAGCAAGTATGGTTATCTATCTGCTCATCTGTATGTAGTGAGCGTGTGTTTGTGTGCATGTCAGAATTACGCAGTGAGAGTAAGGTTATATAGTTAGAGATAGCAACAGCTTTGGTTTATTTTAGTTGCAAATTCCCAACACAAAAAGCTGCATGCAAAGAGGTGTAATAAAGCAGTATGAAAGCAGGCAGTGATTAACAGCCCAGAAGCTTCTTTTATCATTATCAACTATTTACAAAGAAGCATTTATATGTTCCCCCATCTCTGGGGAACTGGCACTTAGCATTAAAAATACATGAATAATGAATGAAGCCCCGTGTACCTTATGGCCTTTTAATAATGCAAAAATCTTAGGATTCGGGATATGATACAGGTAAACAAAGGAAAAAAGACTGGTGGGCTGAAAATAATGGGAGATCCCTATGCAAAGGACAATTTATAGCGTGTGGGGGTTAAACTGTAAAACAGCAGCTTGTTGTCAAGCTCTTCTCCTAACTAGAAAAACAACCCAAGGAGCAGGAATACATGGAGCAGAAGGCCCAGTCACAGCTATGACTGTAGTCCTGTAAGAGCTAGAGACTGAGAGGGAAA